AGCACGCCAGCCTCGGGGGCGGGATCACCGTCTTGTGGAGAGAGAGCACCGTGCGCACACGGGCTACGAGGAGAGAGAGTACAGGGGAATGCGTGTCCACTCGAGCGCTAGTTGGCCATGCAGAAGCCCGGATTCCGCTTCTAGGCTGCCGCGCCTCACGCCGCGCTTCGGCCCCCTGAGGGGGTGCGTACCCCTCGCGCGGTTCCCTACGGCGACAAATGGGGAGAGATGGGGAGAGATGGGGCGACTGTCGAACTTTACCTAGTACGCAGAGGTCGGGGCGGGAGTACGGGTGCGAGTACGGGAGTTGCAGAGCACCGCGTGAAGGGACGGGAATACCACGGCTGCCGTCAGAATACGGCGGAGCTCGGCGGAATGCGTCTCCTCTCGAGCGAGACATCGGAAGATGTTACAGAAGACTTGACCTCTCTTCCGCTTCTAGGCGCTGGGCACTCGCTTCTCTGCGCAGCAGCCGGCGCACCGCCCGTCGCCGCCGCCTCGGCGGGCGGCGCCGCGCCGGCGGCGGGGGCGGGCACGCCGCGAGGCATCCCGTGCGGCCGCTTGAAGTCCGCCGTCGACACGTCGTAAAAGTTGTTGCGCAGCCCGGGAGAGCGGCTGCGCCGCTCTGCGTCGATCGGCGGAGGCACGTACGGCTCGGCGTCTCCAAGCTCGGCGACCGCCGCCTGGGTGGGGACGCCAACGGAAGGTTGCAGTCAGGGGGGGGCAGGGGGGCGAGGGGGTGAGGCGGTCGGAGCGGGGAGGGGAAGACTCGATGCCTTGTAGTCTGCATACTCCTTCTCGCGGCCGGGCAGCGGCGTCTCGGCGCCAAACTCGAGAGGGGCCTGGTAGCCGGGCCCGCCGGGGACGGGCTCCTTGAGCTTGGTGGTCTGCCCCGGCGCCCCCTCGGTCGCCTCCACCGAAAAGGGCACGTCGATCGATGGCTTCATCAGCGCCTGCCGCCGGCGCACGCTGTCGACCGCCGCTCCGTCGGCCGCGGCGGCCGCCTTGCTGGCGGCGAGGGAGGCTGCGGCCAACGCCTCCTCGAGCTCGGTGGTGGAGGCCTGAACCTGCGCCTGCAGCTCGGCGATGTACTTGACCTGCCGTTTGATTGTCTTTGTCTGCCGCTCGTAGCTCGCCTGGAGGCTCTCAAGCTCGGGGTGGACGCCGTCGCCGCCGGCGTCGGCGTCGGCGGCGGGCGCGTCGGCGGTGGCGGCGGCGAAGGGAGGCGCGGCGCGCGCCGCGGGAGGTGCAAGCAGCGGCCGGGGGCAGCGGAGGCCGAGCGACGGCGCGAGCAGCGCGAGCATGGATCTGGCTTCGAGGGCGTCGATCGCAGCTGATCGAAGCCTGAGGTACGGGAGAGAGCGGGGGGGGGGCATGCTGGGGGGCGATGGGGTCCCCCAGCCCGCCGCACGCGATTATGGACTTTTCTTTTTTGCGCGAGTTTTCACTTGTTTTCATGGGAATTCGGCGTACTTGCGGCCATGCTATCACGCCTTGCGACAGCCTGGTCGGCGCTGCTGACCGTGCCATGCTGCACAGTTGATCACCTGCATAGCTCGCGGCCTTAGTATCAAGCATTCAGTGACGACCTGAGCGTACGGCCAGTAGGAAGGTGTCCTTCCATCGTGTGCACGCTTGGCGCAATGCGCGTCGCCTCGGATTGGCTGCTGGCACTCTCGAGGCTACGCCTACACAGCCTCGCGCGCATGGGCAGTCAAGAGGGACCACGCACCTTCTCAGGACAGCACCAGTGCCTCTCTCTTGGACCGGCAAACGTGGTGGTCTCGTGTTACCAATGTGGGACCAGTGCGGCATCGCGCCATCGACAGCTCTGAACTGCGCCTCACCACTGACCGGGAAGGCCGCCAAGGGGCCAGCACAGGTCGCACATTGTGGCAGCAGCCAGCAGTGCATGTCTGATAGCTAGAGCAGCAGCGTCAGGGTCTCGCAGGGTCGGATCGTGTCAAGCCTCTCGCCCGGCCGGCCGCGTGCAGACGTCGGCCTGTCTGCTGTCTGGAGTGATCTGTCGGCGGTCAGTACGACCGATCAAGCGCCACTCTTGAGCAGCGTGCGCGCGTGTTGGGTTTGCGCACGCCCCGCTTGTCGGGCAGCAGGAAGCGAGAGGGGCCATCCACACCTCGTAGGTAGGTAGGTAGAAAGGTGAAGAACAGCCAGGCTCGGACTGGACACCAACGCGGTATGGGTGGACGCTGGACAGATGATGACGACACGCACGAGCGACACACAGACACAAACAAGCTCACAAGACACTCAGCCAGCGGGCTGCCACACACCCTGAGTTGGCGTACACATAACTCAAGGCCACATCCTCCCTGTCGCCCCCCCCAGCACTCCAAGGTGCCAAGAGAACACCTCGTTCGCGACACGCGAAGAGGGCAGCGCCAAGTCGAGCAAGTAGCCAGTACGTGCGCGGCTCGAGATACTCCTCCTCCAGACCAACCAGGACACGGTGGCGAGGCGAATCCGCGCAACCGCGGATCGCTGCAAAGCGTGAGATCCTCACTTGCGTGCCTTGCATGGCGGTGCAGCAGGATAGGGTCGATTCAGCATGGTACGGGACCCCTCGATCTCGTCTCACCCTCCCTCACTGGAGTGTTCATTGGGAGGGGTCATAACAAACACGGTACAGGATCGAGGTGCACGCCGCTGAGGGACCCCAGAGGGTAGATCGAGCGGTGTCGTCCCCCCTCTCCATCATCTCACTGGGAGAAGTCGGCGCGGTGATGGCGGTGTGACCGATCGAGCTACAAGAGGAGCTTGTTCAGCATGATCCGGGAGGGTCGAGCAGTTCCTCACTTCCACACTGGGTGAGCTTCAGACCTCGGGCCTCTCACCCCTTCACCTTCGGCTTGTGTGGATTCGAACCACCGCCGGGATGGAAGCTTCCTGCTTCCATCTGAGGGGGGGAGGCGGATTTCAGCCGGACGGTAAAGTGGTCAAAGCAACTTGAGGCCGCGCTGGTGCCCCACACCGCACCACCCCCCACCTTCTTACAGCAGCAGCGAGACTGGGCCGTTTCATTGCACCTCAGGCCCGCCTCCCTTGGATCATTCTTGCAAACCGCTGCACCCCTCCACTGCGTAGGCTCCGTTTCGTCTTTTTGTTCCGCCCCCGCCCCAGATCCCCATTTGCTTCCCCTCTCTTTTGAGGTCACCCCATCCGGGTCCTCCCGATCTCCCGTCTCCCCGAATACGCCCCTCCCCTCCCCACCCTCCACCCCCACACCGCCTCCTCCTCAATCGGCCACAATCCAAAACCAAACCAGGTGGCGATGGAGGCCGTGCCTGGAGGATGATCATTGCACGCGACTGTGTGCCCCCACGGGCGCACGGGCCACGGCCCGGTGCACCGTGTTCACCGACGCTGCAGCGAGACGCCGCTTCCCGCGTCCCTCGCACTGTGCACATGCTCGACCTCGAGAGCCTCGACGGACGACGCGTACGCGCGCGCTCGCACGGTAAAAAATACCACACGGGTTTGTACTGCTGTGCCACTGTAACTAGCCACTGGACTACAGCAGAGCCGCACACCCCAAAGCGCCAAAGGGAGCGATCATGGCAAACTCTCCCGACTCCACCTCCATGTCCTCCATACATTCAGCGACCACTGGATCGCCGCGCCTTCTCCGAGTGGTTGGCGGGTGGCGGTGGCGCAGCCCGCCCCTCACGCCCCGCCGCTCGACCGCCCCCGCGACAGCCCCCGCACCTCTGACGGCAAGACGGGCTCGAGCGACGGCGCAAGCGCGTTGACCGTCTCGAGGAAGGCCTGCGGGGACGTGCCGCGGACGTGTCGTGGGCGCCGTCGTGGGCGCGTGCTCCGGCCGCGCGCGGCGCGGAGAGAGAGGAGGGTGGGCTCGGGTACCGTGGGGTGGGGGAGGGTGGGTTCGGATACCGTGGGGCAGGGGAGAGAAAGGAGGAGGGTGTGGCCTGCGGCTCTCCGCCGATGTCGAAGCGCGTGCCGTCGACCAGGTAGCCCTGCAGGCCCGACTCGGCGCGCAACACGTCGAGCGCCTGAACGCGGCCGATCGCGGCTCATCTCGGCTGTGCGGCGGCTACATCTCGACGCTGTCTCGGCCTCGGCCAGCTGCAGCGACGGCTGCAGGCGACGGCTGCATCTCGGCTGCATCTCGGCGGCATCTCGGCGGCATCTCGCCTCAGTGAGCTGGAGCGGCGGCGCGGTCGGCGAGGCACCTCGAGCGTCGGCGGCATCGGCGAGCCACTGGAGGAGGGCGCCTAGCGGACATGTCCACGACATGTCCGTGGCATGGGCGAGACACGTCCGTGCAGGCGAGCCGCCGGAGTAGGCCACCCGTCTCGGTGATGATGTAGAGGCCAAAGGCGCTGAGGTACGTCCCTTCGGGCAGGCCCGGCACCGCCAGGTTGGTCGCGGCGAACTCTGCGGTCGGCTTCTCCACCAGCATCGTCAGGTGCACGCGCCGCGGCTCGGCGTCGCCGCCGTCGCCAAACCGCGTCGGCCAGCTCGCCTTGCCGGAGATATGGCCGAGGTACGGCCGAGGTATGGCCGAGGTATGGCCGAGGTATGGCCAAGATCTGGAGAGATGTCGGGAGAGATGGCTCGCCTTGCCAGAGATATCCCACTTGCCCGTCGCGCAGCCGTACCGGTGCACGTGAGCCTGCGGGGAAGGTTCCGAGAAGGCTCCGAGGAGGCGGCGAGGAGGCGGGTAGAAACTGCGCCGGTGCAGGTTGTGCCTCGGCGGTCCTCTGCAGCGCCATGACGGAGGTGCCCGTGTAGGCGGCTAGCAGCTGCCTCACGCACGACGTGCCCTCGGGGTGCGCGGTGGTGTAGAGATGGTCGCCGAGCAGCAGCAGCGTCGGCGCCTTAGGCCAGGAACGGAAACGTAAGCTTCTCCACACACACAAGGTGGCGGGGAAAGGGCCAGGCAGCCCTCGCTCTAAACGACAGGAGTCCCACCACAGCATCCAAAGTGCGAGGGTGCACTGGGATGAGCGGTGTGGGAGAGGGAGTACATCCGAGGGACTCGGCGTTGCCTGTCCGACTAGTCGACCTCTGCCTGCCTGCCCGCTCTCGACCTGCTCTCGGCTGTCCGTGCGTGCGATCTGAAGCCCGGGGGCTGTGTCGTTGCGTGTGAGTGTGGTGTGCGCGCGCCTCCTCTTCGAGCGCAGCGCGGGCGCAGAGGACGGCATGGCCGAGCCCGAGCTGCTCCTGCTGCTCCACCAGCTCGACCTTTGCGCCCACCTCGCGGATCTTCTCGGCGTAGCGCTGCAGCCGAGGCGGCAGCCGCGCCATCTCGCGCGGCGAGGGCGGCCGCCGGAAGAGCGCCTCAACATGTGACGAGGAGGTGTGACGAGGAGGTGTGACGAGGAGGTGTGACGAGGAGGTGTGAAGAGCGCCTCAAAGTGGCCCTTGTGCTCCGGCGAGACGACGATCACGACCTGCAAGGATAAGGTAGACGTCTCCACAACACACACAGGGGCAAGGCCCGGGCGCGCGGGGGGAAGCGGTGTAAGATGTGTGTGTGTGTGTGTGTGTGTGTGTGTGTGTGTGTGTGCGTGCGTGTGTATCACGCACGACCTTGGCGAGGCGGGCGTCGACTGCCTGCTCGACCAAAAGCAGGATCGCGGGCTTAAGGATGCCGTCGGCGTCGAGGAGCGGGAAGAGCGCCGGCGGCGTGGTACGTGAGGCGGGGAAGGAGGCGGCGGAGAAGGAGGCCGCCGGCACGACCGCCTGGCCCACCGGGCGCGATGCGCCAATCTGGAGGGGCATGGTGCGCATGCCGAGCTCCGTCTCGACAATCCGCATCGCCGCCTCCGCGTCGGTGGCGGAGCGGCAGAGGAGCTGCGCGCAGCCGTCCCCCTGCGAGCCGACCCCCTACCAAAGGCGCGTTCATGAGGATAAACGAGAATCTTCATTACTCATCTAGGTCCCCGAGCCGACCCCCTCGGCACCAAAGATGCGTTTATCATGAAGTGGGCCAGATTAAAGGACTCATTCGTGCAAGCCTTTTGCCTTGGCACCAACGGTGCATGATTTAGTACTGCGTGAGCCGTATACCAACTATTAGTTCAGATCGCGTACCTTCGCGCCGAAGATGTGCTTCCGTAGCGGCTCGTGCCGCAACACGCGGTGCAGATTGGGCGCCGTCAGCTGCGACGGGCAGAGCGGCGTCGCCAGCCGGTCAAAATGCTCCTGCGCCTCGTCCATGAGCGCGCCTGCGGCCAGGTCTCGGACATGTCATGGACGCGTCGTGGACGTGCCCTGTGCCTCCTCCGTTAGCGCACCAAGCGCCGCCATGTCGCCGCAGTCGAGCGCCGCCATCGCCGCCCTGACAATGCGCTGGTTGATCGCGCCGAGCAGCTCGTGCACGCCTGCGGGGAGATAGAGGGAGATAGGGGGGAGATAGGGGGGAGATAGGGGGGAGATAGGGGAACGAGCTCGTGCACGCCTGTGGGAAAGGCTTCGAGAAGGCTCCGACAGGTGCCGTCTCGCCCACCAGATGTGGAGAGATATGGGGAGATGTGGGGAGACATCGGTGCACGCCTCGCTGCGCATCGTCATCGGGGACCGGGTAGCACTTTGTGAGCCGCTGCAGGATGACCGTCGTGTCCTACACCGAGGCTCAGAGAAGGCTCCGAGAAGGCTCCGAGAAGAGCCGCTGCAGGATGACCGTCGTGTCCTTTGTGCCGTCCAGCTCGACGATGACCAGGT